CTGTTCTGAATATCGGTTTATTGTCCCGCATGATTGAATAGACCAAGGTAATAATCTTTTGAAAGTCTCTTTATAAATCGAAAAATAACTAATGTCTCTACTTATTTGTTAGACAGTTTAAAGAGAGAGACATGAGAAAGAAAGGAGCGATTTATGAGATTTACGAAGTGCCTGCTGTTACACAAGCTAGTACATCTCCTTTTATTCATATTTTACATATTCAGCTTTCATAGAGAGGGTCGACTTCGCTCGAGACCCCATTCGTGAGAAGCCGTTTGACAAGGTAGATGATAGCGGCAGGGAAACACCGATATCAAACTCGCAAAAATCCGAAGAAGTCGTAAAAGTCGCCAATAAAACACGAAGGGGTTGCGGGAGGGAGGAAAACGCGGGAAGCCAAGACGCTTCTGGCATACCAATAAGCGAATATTTGTCGAGAACAAATTTGTGGAGATCCCAAATTTCGCGAGGGTGTCCCGCCTTCGCTTCGTCTCTGAATGTTTAAGGGTGTATCGGCAAATATTTGCGCGCGAAAGCGGCTAGGTACTTCAGGCAAACCGAACGACGTATCGCGAAGCCGATAAGCAGGAAGAAAAGAAAAGAAAATGAGGGAAAGGAATATGAACGGTTGCGTCGTGTTTGTATATCTATACGATCTAAAGATTGCAGGTAATAAATTCGTCAGAGATTTAAAAATCTGTTAAAATAAACTAAATTATTTTAGGGATTGAATATATATAAATTCACATCGAAATATTCAAGATTCGCTCTTTGTGCCCAAAAATAGGATTATCTCTCTTAATTGATAAATTAAATTAATAGTATTTATGGCTCCAGGAATCCAATACAAGTAAATGCTTGTGTGAGCCTTCGCGGTTGTCAGTACATAAATTATATATTTATAAGGCGATAAGATATAATTCATAAACAATTGGAATGTACTTACAAATTAAATTCACTACAGATGTTTCACTTCTGGATTTATGTGAGTCTTTTTCAGTGCGATAATTAGTGAGATTGAATACAAATAAAAATCGCAAAACAAGTTTTTGAACTGATTTATCACTTGCGTTCCCAATAAGAGATTCACTTCTTTTTCATTTGAGGTTAAATATAATTTTAATAATTAGTTAAATATAATTTTAATAATTAGATTTATGTAAATTTTTTAAATCAAGCTGCTATCATTATTTAATTCTGTGACTAGTGATTTCATAATTCAGAATTATTTAGTATTATATCTATCATTTTCTTAACATATAGGTATGTTCTGGATTATAATTTAAACTTATACGTACTTCGTAATTTTAATATCAAAGATACTTAAATATTAAATTAAAATGCATAATTCTACGTAATTTAAAAGCAATATAAACATGAAAATTATTCCTTTCTGCTCTCTTATTTATGCTCAGGATAATTCAGGACACAAAAACTGGCCCATACAAAAGTTCCAAAAATATCCCTCGAGTGTCCTCAAGCAGAAGCCTCTCATGGAAAAAATTCACATTTCTTTTGGTGAAGTGAAGAAGTTGAAATAGAGTGTTCGTTAACTTTCAGCGATCGTATGCAAAGTTTCCTTTCGCTCTGCTTGTATTTCTCATTTGCGAACTCCGTCACTCATACTTGGGAAAATTCTTCAACGTGAATCCATCATGTTCTAATAGGAATTTCTACAAACCATCGCTCCAGTACAAATTGCTGCTAAATAAGAATATTAATTTGAATAATGATACTCTGCAAAAGTATTAGAAAAATATTTTTTATATGCTTCATAAATCGCAACATCTTGCTGCATAAATGGGACTCTCTTTTTTAACGAAAAATTATTTTCCTTAAATATATACCCACTTGTGCAGGGGGTGCTCCTTCACGTCAGCTCTTTATTAATTATCGTGTTATCATGTTTCATGCCCCAATGCTTCGCGCTCGCACTTGTTGCACGCGGAAGTGATTCGGGACGATTGAAATATCGCGTTCGGCTTTACGGTGGAATTAAAATCACGGCCGATCGCGGGTAATTGTACTTAATTGCGCGTCGCTGGATAAATTCCGCGCACCGGATATCCCGCGAGCGCTCGCTTCGCAATCGGGAACACCTGCAGCGAGATCTCTATAAAGTCGTGTCACCCCGAGGAAAAACATGATCGTAGAGTCCCAGGTAGTTCTCGAGTGTGTATATACGTATTCTTGTCTTCCTTTTTCAAGACGGGAATCTTTACTGCCGTTCCGACACTTTCCTACATACCCGGGAGCTATCCTAGAGGAAGAACGATTATGCCGTCGACTGTAACAAACGTTCGCGATCGAAGCCCGATGGTGTAGACGGCGCAGAATCGCGAATGGTGTCACTTGATATTCAATCTCTGATAGGCTTACTCCCGCTTCCTTGCCCGTGGGTGTCACAATCCGGTATTGATAATCAAATCGATGCGATGTAGTTGTATTCCGTTACTGATGATAAAATGCTCGCAATCGAATGATCCTCTTATTCCCGGACAAGTTTTCTCTCAAGTAGAGAAATATGAAAAGATATCTTGTACAGTGTGTCTTTTAAACTTGTCGCGGCAAATTTTGTACACGGAAAAAACGATTTCACTGAGGTAGACTATAAACATTAAATAGATACAGATCTGAAAATTTTGTTGGATTAACTAATTACGTATAGAAAATTCAAGCACGAGAAATGCTATAAAAAGTTTTCACATTATAATAGTAATCAGTTTGAGTATCCTATATATATATATATATATAATTATTTTGAGAGTCTAACAAAATTCTTTTCAAATCTGTGTGTATCTAATTAAATTTTTAGGTGCTTATTTAAAACCTTTATTATTACGTGAAAAATATGATAATTATTTTAAAATTAAGATTTTGTTTCCTTTTACGTACTGGTCCAGAAATAAAAAATCTTTAACGACTTTAAATTTTTAAAGTATCAATAAACAAAACAGATTTTTTTCACATAATCTGAAGACACGATAGCGTCCCGGCGGTAATAAAAAAATACATGAAAATAAGAGCACCTAATTAAAACAAAAAAATTTTAATATATAAAAAAACTTTGCGCCGCTAGAGTGCCTCTAGGCAGAGTGGAGACATGAACGGTCCTGTCCGTGATTGGTGCCACCATGTTTTAGAAACAATCAAGTTCAGAGAAATATAAAAAAAATTGCTCATACATAATTATACATAATGTTGTATATAATTACATGCAAAGAAATTTCTTGACATTTCTCCAAACTTGATTTCCTTTAAAACAAATAATGCGAAAATTATCCTTTCGTTATTTTTAATAGCTCTTCATTATTAGTATTATCATTTTTATTACACTATGAAAAGTAATTTTACAAAAAAAAGGAAAGATGTATGAACATGTATGGACATATTTCATAATATCATATAATATTATACACGTTTATGAATACTTATGCATGTTTATGAATGTTTAAACATATTTATATATATTCATCCATGAAAAATTCTTTGCCGGGATATAAAGATAATAAAAGTTAACCTGGGACATAACGCAAGTGTCAACATGTGTAGTGAAATAAGTATTAAAGGCTAAATGAATATATGACTCCATTATTGTTTCAAAATGCTAAATTATGTACTACTGCCTACACTGAAAAAAATTTTGTGCAATAGATTAAATTAAACTAATTCGCTGTTATTTATTTTGAAGGAGAATATATATATTTACGTAATATATAAAATGTTCGAATTAAATTTATATTTTCTTTATCAAATAAAATAAAGACGAACTAAATTAATTTAGTAAAATGAACAACTCTTTTACTTAGAGTAACGGTACTTCATAGCTAAATGTTATTATATTACATATACATATATGTATACGTACCCTTGGCTCAGTCGTTCTCAAGATTTCGACGTGGTTAGTTGTCAGCAAACAATTTAAAATTCAACTGTAATAATCTTGATTATGAAGTTTAAGCCAGAAGCATTGCATGTAAGTTATTAAATCATCAAAATTTCAGTTTTGTAATCTAACGTCAGGTGTCATTCTAATTTTAGAGATTTTTTTATGATTTCGTCTGCCTTTGACACATCATTCATCAATCTTTTTCTTTCTTCTTCTTCTTTTTTTGTCATTTTCCTTTTTTCTTCGTCACAGCTATCAGTTCATTATAACTTTATTGACCGAAATCAATCTTTTCTCATCATCGAATGTAAAATAGATCTTGGCTATTATTCATTGCTCACTGAATTTACTCTAATTTCTTTTTATCAGATTTTCCATGACAAGCAATTATACAAGCGGTTTACTTTAATATTTCTTATTTCATACTTATTAGTCATATATACAAGATGTTCACTCTTGATGACGATTTTTTATTTACATGTTCCTATTCGTACCCAGTTTGAACTACTTTCAACTATTTTCATTGTTTGTTTTCAACGTATATGAATATTTTATCTATGTAAATCAGAAAAAATGAAGAAACGTTCATGTATAAATTAAAATTTTTTTCCAAATTACATAAATATATAGTAAAATTGATGATAAAATAAGTTAATTTAGCAATAAAAGACTATAAAAGATGATGCTGACTTGGATAAAAATTTCATACAGTTCTTATTGTGTAAGCATAAATTGAGTAACCACTAAAAACAGAACCTTTGACAATTCTATATATAATTTGTGAATATTTTATAAGCCATTTTAGACATTGTTATAACAGTGTATTCTCCTGCCGTTTTGCAAAAAGTGTTTTAAGCCGTTTAATGGGGTAAAATAATTACATTAACGGCAACCTTCCGTAATGTAACTTTTTTGATAAAGAATTTATCAAGATAGTAATAAATTTGTATAAAGATAGTAAAAATTTATATTTTCGTACAGGTGGATAAACTTGAAAGTTAATATGTTCAAAAAAATTTAGACCGTGAGAACTCTCTCTCTCTTCTCTACGAAAAGAGTTCAGTGAATGTTACAATAAAATTAATTGAGAATACTTCTAAAGACTTTGGAATTTGAATTAAAAAAAAATGAGTTTTAAATCACAAAATTCGCAATATTTGAATCGACATGAACGAACGCACAATGACACAAAAGAATTTATATGCGAACAATGTTGTAAGATAATTTACGTTGTTCATGATTAATATTTTTAATATTTTTGATAACTTTGTATTATCTCTGCAGTTATAATTTTTATCTTACCATTTTCATATCTGTTTTATAACAATCATCTCCTTTATTACTAAAGATAAGAAGTATAAATCCTCGAAAACTTTGAAACAACATATTAAAAACGTACATACTGAAGTTAGGCCCTACAAATGCGGAACGTGTGGTAAAACGTTTAAGAGTCAATATAGTATGCGTATTCATGAGAGAATACATAAAGGTGAAAAATCTTATCAATGCGACATTTGCGAAGCATTATTTAGGTGAGTACGTGAGACAAAACTTATAGGAATTATTAAATAATCTCTTTACTTAATTAATTGTTAACAAATGACAAATACTTTGCAGTGATTCTAGTAATCTATCTAGGCACAGGAAAACGCAACACAATATACATATCAATTGTAAGGAATGTAAGGATGGTTTCAATACTGAACAGGATTTGCATGATCATATAGACATAAAGCACATTAAAAAATCGTATAAATGTGAGATATGTTCAGCTACATTTGCACTTGCTGAATACCTTAAAAACCATACAAAAATACATAAAGGCGAGAAACCATATCTTTGTGAGGTACGCTTTAACATTATCGTTAGTATTTTTTCTAATTATTTCTCATTTGACTGTTTCCATTTTTGCCTTTCCGTAATTATAAATGTGTTGTATTTTAGTTTTGCGGCAAAGGTTTTATTAGAAAAAATCAGAGAGATAATCACCGTTTTATACATATCGTTACAAAGCCACTTAAATGTTCGATGTGTGGCAAGAGCTTCAAATATAAAAAGTTATTTCATAAACACATACACAATAAGGTCTTTTATGATATAACGTTTTAATTCATTAGTAGATTCACATTTGTCTTTTCTTTCTACGTTTGTTATATACTTATAATTACACAATATATTTGATATTTAAACAATTATTTATTTTTTAGTGTCGCACGAGTGCTACCGTAGTAAAGAAATAATCGCGACTGACAACAGAATATACGATCAAGAACAATTACGACTATTCTTAATAATAATGACGAATCAATGGTGAAAGACATTGGGAATAAACATGCAAATTTTTTACGAGATATAATATACGTATGATGGGAGTTTTCCTGTAGATACCATTTTTCTAGGGGATTGAACACTGTCAAACACAGGAGCGACGTGTGAAGTTGAGAATGCGGTCAGAAGATAAAACCTTCCAGTAAATTAATTTTTTTAATAATTATAATTACGTTTTTGTGGGATTTAAGGTAGTACAGTCGCGAATTTTGAAAACAGCATTTTTTGAAATTGATGCTGTATATATAGTACTAGAAGACATTGTATGCTTGTGCAATTGTTATGAGATTGAGGTTTCAGTACTGAAATATGAGCAATTGCAGGCCTCACTTTTTATACGTGTCGCCTATAATAAGTCCAATCAAAATGTGAAATTTATTTTTAAGTAGGGCCTAAACTGACAGTTTAGGCCCTACTTAATATGTTATTAATAAACGATCATGCGATGGAATAACATATAACGGATATTATGAAAAAAATATCATAATTTTTTACCATTTAATTTGGAAACTAGATTCGTGAAAAGAATTTAATTTTCGTAAACATTTAATTGTCCATTCAAAATGTGAATCAAACAAAGGTAGCAATGAGCTGCGTTAGTCTTTTTATGTTTATTTTTTTTGTGTTAGCGTGTAATCATTGACAGGTATAACTAAAAGTTTTCTCTCACTGCACGGTGGAGTCGATTGCTGAAAAAGTTGCCAAAAATAAAAAAATATCATGTTCTTACAAAAAAGCTATATTTATAAGCTTTCCGAGTCACTATATTATAATTAAAATCAGCCGTATTGGATTCGTCATTCGAAATTATTTCTTTTTATGTCAAAATTGAAATCAGCACTTGAAACACATTTTAAAAACGAACTCGTGCGTTTTAGAATATTTTAAAGTTTAAGCCAGTCATATTGAATACGCCGTTTTGAAATATTAATTCTGAAATTAGAATAACGTTCAGGGACCCGAAAAACTTATTAAGGTAAACCTCCCATCGACCGGACATGTATCTATCCGAACACTCACACAATATTTATTATTATATTAATCTCAAATTTTTTAAAAACTGTATCGTAATTTAATTGTAATTGTTAAATATAATTAAATTTCAATATTGTAATAAAAGGAGCATTTGAGAGATTAATAATAATTAATTTTTTGTAAATATCCGGACATATGTACATGTCCGGTTACTGGGACCTTAATATGGCTTTTTTGTAATAATATATTATTCCTTTGACCACATTTCAATAGTCCGAAAAATAGTATGAAAATCCAAGGGATCAAAAAAAATCAAACTTCCGAAAGTTTGCAATATAACAAAACTGCAGTGAGACGGTGTATTAATTACCCTGTACGCTAATTGCAATGAGCAGTGATATTTATAATGCATCTTTTAATAATGTACATATGTTACATTTAATAAAAGTATCTAGGAAAGTTACAAATTCCAAGACTCTCTGTATTAGAGAGGATGAATTCATTTATACAAAGGTTTTTTTTACAATCATTATTATTTTCAATTACGCGTTATTTCCATGTTTGTCTACAACGCCTTAATGTTGAAGTATTTTCTAGCTGTAGGTATGTTAAAAATCGTTATGTACTATCCATATGTGGGTGTTACAAGTGACTTTTGGCCACTTTTTCGGCGATCGGTGCCATTGTGCACTGGCGGGAACGGATTGTAGGAGTGCCGAACGCGCGACGGTACTTAACTTTCGAATGATATTATCACGAGTGTACTACCTCAAAAGTACGTTTTGTACTAGTGTGTAAGCGTGAAAACGAAACGTACCTTAAATGTACAGAACAATCGTGATAAAGAATCTCTTAATGCTAATTTATCCAGCTGCGCCTTCAGAACGCACTCTCATTTTAAGATCGAATGTACGTGCTGATTATTATTTTTGTATATATAACTGTTACTTATGTATGTACTATTACAAATCAACAAACAAGATCTATATTAAAGCAATTGATATTAAAGCATTAGTAATTTGTTCTTATCTCAATTATTGATTCATCGCCCTAATATTCCTAGAGTTCTACGTAAAACATCTTGCTTTAAATAAAGATTGACGTACTGTTCCGGAAAGGTAGTTTCAAATAAACTCCGGTAAAAGTTTAAAGATCGTTGATTGAACCAATTTAATCTAAAATTTACTTAATTTTGACCAACTCCCACGATTTTGAAATCTCACGCCTCGTTCGATGAAGAGAATTTCGGTTCTTTTTATATAAAAACCATTGATATAATCGTTGTATTTTTAGTGCTGTGCTATCCGCGGTAGGTCCACGGTACCCCTTAAACTCCATCGTAGACTATTCTGACTTGCATTTGGTCCATACATAGTCGTAAAGTTTTGAGTATGGGCGACCGTGGGTCGCTAGATGACTCATTTACAGTCATCACAAACGCGCGGTTTATGCGGCTATATCTCTTCAGTCCGGCGTGGCATACACCACAAATACGCGTAACCATAAAACTTTAACCGGATGGTTGTAATCGTGTATTTTTTCACACAGTATTCATGTCGAAACGCTAATCGTCCCCATTCGGCATTCACGAATCTATTGTGACAACTATGATTGAATTCGTTATCTACGATTGTGTATCCATGATGAATATATGGCAGTCAGGTGCACGGAAGTAATACGTTCTGAAGAAAGTATACAGACAATGTAAAAGTTGTAAAACAATATTACATTTCTCTTTCAGTATATCTTTATTGTTTTACGTTAGACCTGCGCAATTAATTATTGATTTCAGAAGTTATTCCTTCAACGTTAAAATCATTACTATTTAATGAATTATTTATTCTTACTATACATATGTGATATAAAATGCAACTTTATAAAATATTTAATCTATAATTATTCCAACTTTGTGAACATTCAGATTTGCTTTTGTAAAATTTTTCCATTAAATCTATTTAGTTGCAGTGTATAGTTCAGGGATCCTCGAAATTGACGATATATATATATATATATATATATATAAATGCTTTTAGTGAAAATCGTTCTATGTAATAGAGAATTAAACTCTGAGAGTGTAGCACGAAGATTCTTTTTAAGACACCCTGTAGATAGATGAGTACAACGCTCGTTGGTGCCATCACGGAGGCATCGCTGTGCGTGGAAGCCCCAAAGAGACGAGGGGTCTCGAGAGGAGTAGACGAAGAAACCCGTTTGGTCGCGTGGCGCACGCCCACGCGTTGCGCGTGTATATGCCACCTTATGCCGCCTCTTTCTCGTGAAGTCCTCGCGATCTCCTAAAAGTTCTTCTTGCTCTAACGGATCTATTTCATTCCTCGAAGATATCAAAAATGTACATTAAGAAAACTCTTTAAATCTCAAGTATTTCTTTCTAAAAAAAGAACTCAGATCAATTTATTTGAACACTTTAAATATTTTTAAAATTTCTATATAAAACTTTAGTATTACATGACTCTTAAAAAGTTTAGAATTCTTTCATTTAATAAATAGGCTTCTAATGTCGAAAGTAATAATCGACTAAAAAGCAACGGTAAAATGTACTGATCATTTGTCTATCTTCTTGATGTTGTTTTATTTCATCTCTGCGATGAATCTTCGACTCGGCTAACATATTGACAGATTGACGCTCGTATTTCGTAGACGTTCGTTCACTGAGGCGTGACAATATAGTGGGCGATATCGTGATGCTATGTGCACTGTGTGGACATCTTCATTTTACTCTTCAATGCGGTTTGATCAGATGTACGAATAATAAGTATAACACAACTTAAAGATGCAAACTAATATATCATGAGATATTAAAAATACTTTTGCAACATAGTATACTAGATACAATATGTATTAATATAATATCAATATATAACATTACATCGTTTATAATTGACTAATGTTGATTAAATATAATATGATTGTTCGATACCGTCTTTTGTCAATCTAAAGATACCTGGCGATTACCACAGCAGGCTTTGTAAACGATCCTTTATGCGATAATTTTAGATAATTTCTTTATGTTGTTAATATATTTAATATAAGGGGCTATTATGTAAGTTCACAGCTGATGAAGACTAAGTAAAGTCGAAACGTTACCGTTGAAAATTATAACTGAATAAAATAATATCACATTGTTGTAACTAATATACATAGTTCGTTTAATTTATGACCTGGGTTGGTTTCTATATTTGATTGTTTGTAATTTGCACGAGTGAATTATAATGATACTAATTCTATTAATTTATAATATCAATATATAATATCAATACATATCTGCATAAATATTTGACAATTGAATATAATAAAAATTTAAATAATGAAAATAAATTAGTAAAAAGTATTTGTTTATTTATATATATTTGTTTGTTTATTATATATATTTAGGTTTTTATTTAAAAAATATAGAAATATTGCGATTGGTTGCGTTATAATTGGAAAAGTATAGCGATTTTATTGGCAATAAGCTTGCTGCAGCGTTGTTGCAACATATGATGATAGTAACATGCAATTATTCCCGCCGCGTTCGACACTTGCAGACAACGTAGCACTATTCTCTCTCCGCGTGACATTTACCGCTGGAATTCATCGTTTCCCGATACGGAATCAAACGAGACCGTCTCACGAGCTTTATTATCAGGATGAATTGTAATACTCAACCATCCTGTTTGTTAAGATTTACAATTAAAAGATCTAAATTATAAAAATATCTAAAAATATAGATTGAATATTTTTATTGAAAAATCTTTTAATGTACTCAGAAAATAATTGATAATAGTTTATATTTCTTGATATCATTTTTGTAAAACAAATTTCACTTAAAAACGTTATTCTTTTATTACGTAAGAAAATAATCAAACCAAGCGGATATAAAATCCTATCTAATTCAATAAAAATCAATAAGATAAACTTTTATTAATATATCTTTTATAGAGAAATTATTGTGGAACTATAAAATATTATTTCTTACTATAAAATATTATTTCTTATAAAATATTATTTCTT